CCAGGAATAGGTCGGACTTATGACCAGAATGGGAGGCTAAGGAAGCGAGAGGGAGGGATACCGTGACAGCGCCAGCCAACGTCTGCTGAGCAAGTACTCACGGAAGCGAGTTAGAGACTCTGTATCATTGAACCACTGATAGAAAGCAATAAAACCTTCAGCTTATGGTGCGAATCTATTGGGGGGAGTGGGCCAATGCTGTGCATGGCTGGTTACGAGTCCTGAGTTGGGCATAAGATACTCCCTATTTTACACTGTATATCATAGAGCTGACACAAATATTCCTATCTTTCTTGAAGTATTATTTGAATTTCACTAGACCTCTCAGGATCATCTTGTATATTCCTTGACTTGCTATAGAGCTCTGAATATATTATGGATTTCCCGCATTTTTCACAATTTTTCTGGCCCTTCTACAGCCTGCAATCAATTCCAGATACCAATGATGTAATGGCTCTGCAGATCGGGTGAACCTGCAGAGAGCCTATGTCATAGAAGGCAGGAGCAGGAATCCAAACCGACGCGGCCCGCACCTCAGCCACTGACTACAAGCCACTACAATAGTCAATTCCCACGATAAGCAATAAAAGTAAAACCGCCATGCGGACTAGGACAAGACACACAATCGATAAATTCACCAAAATATTGTTGTAGACCCGTATAGCATACACCCAGGACTAGAAAAAATAAAAGGGAGATAAGACGAAGAATTGAGCCCGCAAATGAGCAAACAATGGTCTCGGAGACTACAAAAATGCGCCAAAAGTGGTTTTGTAGTCTCACATACAACCGGACTTCCAATCGGAGGTTCGAAAATGTAGTCTGCAATACAAAACATAACTCCCACGACGTCTCGGCACAAACAGATCTCACGGGGTACATCGTTCGGCACGCAGGCATATTTTGCGCGTAAGGACTCGTCCTTCGTACCTCAGGACTCGTAACCACGCCGCCAACGCCACGGCCGACACTACTGATAGTAGAATAACCTGTACGTTGGCACCACTTATCAGGAGCATTGGGCAAGTGAGAGTCATCAGCGAGTCGTTGTCAGGATGTCCCATGGTACAGCAGCGCGAAATAAATTCCAGCTCCCCAAGCTATCTCGTTGCTTTCATGATAAGCCATTGCATTCAGCTCTCAGCAATCGCGTTCTACGGGGCTCCTGTGCTCGTGCAAAAGGATTGTAATGGTCAAGTCCATTCCATGCTTATGTAACGTAGTCTAGATAGTCGCGTCGCTGTAGTTTGTAGGCTTTGTCTTGCCAATGCCAGTAATCGACACCTCGTCCGTCTGCGCCTCGTTCGCCGCGCGTTCTGGTCCTAGGTGTTCGGGCGCGGTCCTCGCAACCGTCGTGCCCGTTACAAGGATGTTTGGTTAATACTCATGATCTGTGAGATAGGGTGAGCATATCAGCACCGCCTGTCGATGACACGAGGGGAGGCAGGCATGGAAGTACAATCGTAATTGACGCCATGCTAATGTTTGCGAGATGCTTTCATGACTCACAACAGTACAGTGCTGACGTGATATGCTGCTCGAACAATCATGTAGCTTGCCCAAATTGGTCGTGCTGTGTCAGCAAGAGTATAAGAGTGGTTCATGGAAAACAAGGCTTACCCGACATCATAATGGAACCAACCCGTGGAAATGAGTGTTTACATTAGGCGTGCGTGAAAGAACATTTATCAAGAGGTCCGTGAGATAGCGAAGGTTCCGAATGACATGATAACAGCGGATCTGGATACGGAGGATGCGGAAGGCTGATTGCCTGACGTATCCTCAATACGGACCTCAAGGCCACACGGCCGCAGCGCCATGTGGGCTAGAAGGACTAGAGGAACGTCAGAGGGGCACTACGTAGGGGATTTTCTATAAACAAGCTACTTACTTTCCCAGCTAACTGAACAGAAGGTAAGTTGGAGTTATCGCAGACAACTTAACGCGCTCACCGCGGCGTCCAGACAGAGGACATAGAGGTTAGCAGACAATTGGATGTTGAATTCATCGTGCTGCGAGAGATGCGGCACCGCCGCCCTGAGCATAGTCGCTATATGCCCTTTAACCAAAGAGCACAGCGGAAAACTGGTCCCTGGGCTGAGTGGGCTCGCCCAATTCAAGGTCAGAGATCAGATGAGGCCCGTCGGAGGTGTCGAGCGTCTTTGCACACTCCTTGCAGTCGGGAACACTGGCAGGGCCGCACCGCCAGATGCACAATATAGCCAAATGGACTGGACGCGTCCCAGCTTGGTCTTCTCCGAGTCAGTAAGTATCAGAAACTATTATTTCACGTGCCTTGAGTCAAACGGTCGTGGTCAATACATAGTCCGTCCCGTAGCAGTCGATAGATGCGGCACAGGATGACACTGGCCATTATTACTCTCGTACTCTGTATGCCGACTGTAAGGTAGTTCGAATTCAAGCCCCAACCGTTTAAATTTCGTCATCCCCCTCCTTCACGCACCTTGTCGCGAGCACAATTCCTAGATTTCAAACGGTCAGGAGCCTCACAACTGCACCTGTTACACTTTTACCTGTGTCTTTCTGACGCACCTTAACTTAGTAACTGCCGGTGCCCGAATGCGGGAAGGGCCATGCACATGTCATCCCGCTTCAATTCAGCTGTTTGAGTCATCGCATTTTCCGACAGTCAATCAACGTCGACCCATGGCAAGCAACTAAGACAAGTGATCTGCTGCCCATTCACTTCGTACTCGGGTTGTCCATGGGCAACGGTACTATTCTGTCGCTTTCGATCAAATAACGCGATCCTGGAACTCAATGTTCTGAGAACCGAGGCATCCAAGGACTTCTTGAAGCTTTGAATCATGCCAGAATGAGGTGTGTTCTCGGGGTAAAAAGCCCACAAGTCTGCGCGTTCGCTGACTACACGGAGCTAGCGACAGCCGCAGCACGCCGTTGCGGAAGGTAGAGCGGCTCTCTCCGATAATCATTGATTTTGTTCAGCGATAAATAAGCAACATCACGGTACGTTGAAGTTGCCGACTATTGCTCAGTAGACCACGTGAGTACTAATAGGGCGCAGATCAATCTGGATTTAGCCCGTGGCATTGCATATGAACATTCGACTGGACCTATACACAAATGTTTGGAGTTTCAGAGATGGAGAAGAAGTGGCAAGCACCGCGAGGGCCCGAAGTCATGCGACCCTTGAAGCGCGCTCTGCCGTGCAACTTGGGTTATTCGACTCTTTCGGTACGGTTTCCCTGAGTTTCGATGGTGTAAGTCAAAGGTAAGTGACCAGCGCAGCATCCGGGCAATACAACGACTGTTTCGTTCGAGTCAACAGCAGACAGGGGGGGGGGAATGATTCCACGTCCGACGTCATATACTAACTCCGTCAATCAGCAGTACCCTTCATTTCTTATCTCTGTGAGAGTCTGATTGATATTGGTTTAGAGCACCGTACTAACCTTGTAACTGATATATTGGTGTCCTTTCCAATTGAGTGCCGTCTTCCCTGACGTCGTGATAGACGCTCTTGAATTCAATCACCACATAGCTTGAGGGTTTCTAGACCTTCTCAGCTGGACTGCCTATAGTATTCGCTATATGCCGGATGATCATGTCAACTATGGAGCTGTGCCGGTAGCTCCGCAGCATCACTGGACCGAACGTACCTCTTGACTTCTTCTTTTTAGTGCCCAACGGGCCGCACATATGGTCGACTCTGCCGAACGTAGCATAAAGCTCGGAGCGCTGTGAGTTTGCTCCTCTTCGTCCACCGCGAGCGCCCCTTCCCTTTCGACCCAGAATAGGACAGGCCCAACCATTGCGCCGCAATATGAATCGAGGCTCACGTACTCTCATTATTACAGGTAACTGCTTCCTCTCTCTTCGTCAGATATCTGTAATGATGTTGCCGTAGAAATTCAAGTTCACGATCTACCTTATGGGCGTGACCACAGACCTCGTCCAGCGCGTGTACAGCTGAAGCTGGCCTCCCGACAATCACAGTCGACCCAGCTGACTCCATTGTCCGAAACTGACGGTCCACATGCTCTTTGGAAGCCAGAAATGCAGTTGTGAGTCCGCAAAATAATGGATTTCGTTGCATTAATGTTCGTGTAGAAGAGACGTACAACCATCTGCGTGCTTGACCTTATCCATCTTGCGCCATCACAAGTACCGCCCGGACGAGCGCGTCTGTCAGACTGAGATCCCCGTTGACCAACTTGACCCCGATAAGTCCTGTACGTCTTCCCTCCGCTATCTTCTCCTGACTACTGTTCGGGCTAAGACACCGTGGTAGCGCTCGAACGTATCATGGACACGGGATCCTTCAATAAGCCTGCAAACTTGATTCTCTACTACAACTTAGCTCCATCAGCTACTTCAGATAGCACGGACTCCGGGAGAAATACGGGCACATCGTCTAGAAGCTCACGCCCTTCAGCTGACCTGGAGTCTACCGCTAGGAACCCCGGACCTGATGCTGACGCGGAAGGTGTTTTGAGAAAGAGCTCAGTGCCTGATCCGAGTGCCTTGTGCGCCACGGTTGAGGGCTTCTCCTCGGCTGGAGAGGTCATTCTGGAGAATATCGCTCCCATTCACCAAATTCTTACCGATATTGCAAAGGTGAGCACCGTAACAAATGCCATACTGGTATCCTCAGACTTCGCTGTTTCGTAGATTCATCCTATCGCTTCCGCGGCATGGTCCCTGCTTACTGCTGCTTACAATGTAAGCTGTAGATCGTGTGTCTACCCAGGTCCTTGTCTCACTTTGTTCGACAGATTCTCCTGATAGAGAAGGAGAAGACAAAGAAAGTAAAGACCTTGTACAATGAAATGATCAAAACCTACAAATCACTCAATCTGGATGATATACTCCCCGAGATTCCACGAGCACCTGGGCACAATGAGATAGTCAAGTCGTATGACAGGATACTTACAGATATGGTGAAGCAGACGACGGAATGCACTATTTTTATCCACGGATATATATCGGGAAGTTTCTTCGGTTGGTCCTTTCATCGCTATTGACCACCTTCGGTATTGAATGCTCCGGGTGTGTAGCCAGGCTTACCGATACGGAGGTGGATGAACGAGTACATCATTTCACCCGTGTGTTCCTGGATCTCAGGGAGACGTTGGAAAGCCGTTTAGAGAGGATGGTGGTCGTTTATATATTGAAGGCTTATTCAAGCCTCGAGTCGCAGGGTAATCATTCTCCTAGTATATAAGCTGATCTTTGCTCACAATACGCCATTGCTTAGGGTTATTTCCAAAATTGCAGGTTTTCTTTGGTCCTCGAGATCAGCCGACACTGAATTCACCTTGTCTTCCTGGGACACGCCAGAACGCCATCGATGATGTTTTGAAATGGTTCAACAGTGACAAGGACGAGGTTCTATGGCTTACAGGACCTCTAGGTTCTGGAAAGACCGCGCTGGTGTCTACAATCGCTTCAGCCGTCCGTTCTTGCGGTCGCCTAGGGGCCAGTGTTAGCTTCGCATACGGGGATAATATCCACCCGATTAAGAAAGACACCACATGGTTCATCAATACGCTCACCATCGAACTTGGCTTATTCGACTCTCGAGTGGGCACCGCCATCATTCATGCAGTCGAATCCAATCCGAACTATCGCATGTCCAGCGTTCATGATCAATACGAAATCCTTGTCAAGGCACCTCTGCGCAAAGTACAGGAGCTGGGGAAGGAAGGGCCTGTCCTCATTGTGATCGATGCTTTGGACGAATGTGCTTTCGGAGATACTCGTTCCGAACTGCTTAATATTCTCTCCCAGGGTCTCGGACCAGGGTTAGGATTTGTTCGATTAATGGTCGTGAGCCGTCGAGCAGCGGACATCACCTACGCATTTGACTCCGCCAACTCCCCTCGTGTTAAGGATCTCTTCTTAGACGTCCAGTCGGAAGAAAACATAGCAGATGTCCGGACCTATTTCGAGTGCAAGGTGCAAAAAATCAAGGAGCCAAGTGTGGTGTCATTCTGCCACAACAAGCGTATCTCAGAGGCACTTACCAAACGCGCCGATGGCGTCTTCCTGTGGGCATTCCTGGCATGGCGCTATTTTGCCGTATCCCCCCGTGAACGTTACAAGAAGATTTTGGACGATAGCTGCGGTGATGTACTCCGCGAGCTGGATCCGATATATGAACGTGCCCTGAAGGAGACTGTCTGTCCTGGTGGGCAGGAAGGGCAAGGAATCAGTGAGGATGATATGAAAGAGGACTTGTCCACGATATTAGGAGCTGTGGCAATTGCACGCTCGCCCCCGGGTCTGACAGGGCTAGCGATTGATGAACTATTATTCCGTGACCCTCCGAAGACTCACGACTTGCTACGGAGGCTGCAGTGCATATTCCGCTCCAAAGACAGCCTAGAGCCAATTCTCTTCATCCACGAGTCCCTATACAACTTTTTGCTTGATAAACAATGGTCGCAGAGTTGGTGGTGGATCGATGGACAAAAGTATCATAAGATCCTGGCAATGCACTGCTTGACTTATTTGAAGGAGCGTATGCGGAAGCTGCGGCCATCGAGTACGTTGCCGGATACGGATGTCGATGACTCCTCGGCGCTCTCTTATGCATGTCTCTACTGGATGGATCATGCCTCACAAGCAGGGGTTCGCGACGAGGAAATCCAGCGCAAAGTCCATAAATTTTTCCAAAAGTATGTTCTCACTTGGCTTCACATCACATTGCTCCTCGGGAAGGCATACATCGCAATCAAATCGCTAGACAAACTTCTTGCCTCGGTTGCCGTGAGTCCCTCTCAGACGTTGTATTCCCAAAGTCCGTATTCATTTCTTATCAGCTGGACCACCCCACCAATCACCTCCTCAGAATCGCCCTCAGTGCGGCCGAGGCTCTCACACAAGACAGCAGCATCAAGAGCGAACCAGGCCTGATATACACCCGGTCCCTAGAAATGGCACAGACGAATCGAGACATCGCGTACATTCGAGCAAGAATGGGGATGGACGAGGTGATGCAAGAAGGAGACCAATCCAGGGCCTGCCGCCACACTGGCTCTGTCACATGCGTCGCGTTCTCGTCCGACGGCAGCCGCGTGGCGTCCGCGTCCGCCGAGGGAGCCATCCACGTTTGGGACGCGCATACGGGCTTTCTGTTCTATAATCCAATGACTGAGCACACTGGCGCGATCAGGGCGCTAGCTTTCTCGAGAGACGGAAAGTGGCTCGCTTCAGGCTCAGAAGACACCAACGTCAGAATCTGGAGCGCGGTGACCGGGAAACTGTTTCTGACATTCACGAAGCACTCGGCCGCCGTCCTGTCGCTCGCAATCTCCCCCGATGGCTCCCAGCTGGCCTCCGGCGGGCAGGATAACGTGATATACGTGACCAACATGACTAACGGCGAGCTCATATCAGGTCCCTTGGTCGGCCATGGTAAAGCGATACTATCTCTTGCCTTCACAGAAGGGGGCGTAAACGTAGTCTCTGGTTCGAGCGACGAGGTTGTATACATCTGGGATACCAGACGGCGCACATTGGTCGGCACGGCAAAGCTGCGCCCCTCGGAGCGCAAACGGATTCCAAACTTCCCCCTTCCTCCAGCCTTCACCTCGCGGAACGTGCGCTCGGTCACGATGGCTGTCTCGCCCAGCGGTCTGCAGGCGATGTCATCGTCGGGCGAGTTGCAGATGTTCGCAACAGCAGATATTTATTCAGGGAAACGGACCACATTAGAAGAGTTCGCGCGCCGGGCGAGGGCGTTCGGGGGGTGCACCACCGTAGCCTTCTCATGGGACGGCGGCCAGCTCGTAGCCGGATACGCAGATGGGAGCGTCTGCGTCTGGGACACCAACGACGAGCTGGTAGTGGGCAGGGTACAAGGGCATAAAGAGGCCGTCCTGTGCGTGGCCTTCGCCCGTGATGGAAAGAAGGTGGTCTCGGGGTCGGAAGACCAGAGCGTACGGGTGTGGAACATCGCGTCGGGAGGGTTGATGCTGGTGCATTGATGAGGATTGCTTGAGACATATATTGAGTCTGTCGGCCGTAGTATGGTTTGTGTAGCAAGTGTATTTTACGCAATGTCGCAACAACCGGTCTTCATGTGGCGAACCCTGAGAACCAAGTGCGGTGTATCTCTGCGATAGCTCTGATCGTCTGTAACCACACTCAGTTGACAGACCTAATCCACGAACTTGTTGCAAGGGAGAGAGTGAGAAGTCGCAGGAGGAGTGGAAGCACTACGGAACCGGCGCGACCAGTCCTGGCTTTGCAAGTGCAATGGTTGGTTGGAGAGTGGGGGAGGACATAAGTCGAGATTCAACAACTTGGTATTGTGGACAATGTCTTCACGTCTTCTTTATCTGCAACGTCTGGCCACGCACATTTCACCGGAAGGGAGGCCGAGGGGATTCGCCGGTGTCCGTGATTTCCAATGCGACGATTCTGGAAGCAAGGAGACCAAATGAGTTGTCGGATCGTGAGGGGGGCAGGCCACTCGCTAGGTAAGACACGAAACTTGGCTCTGTCATGCATCAAGTTATTTCTCGACTGTTTCCTTATTATCCCGCATCTCTGTCGCAGAAAAATACCGGCCTCCGTCCAGAGCCGACGTCCATTTTTGGAACTTATTCAATTTAATAACTTTATGTGGTAATGATCCTGTGCCGCCATCATACGGACCGGATCCTTGTACGCACGTACGAACTCAACCTTCATGGTCCAATTGACTCGTGCTAGGGTGTCCACGCACTGGCATATAATGCGATTTTGAAGTTATACGGGGTCCCCATCCAACAGATTTTTCACCTTATCGGCTTGATCAACCGCCGAATGTCCGCAGTCTTCGCCTTCACCTACATAAGTATATAAGCCCATTCCAGGCCACGAGTAGTCAGTCCAATACAGTCAATATAGAGCTACAGTCGAGCAAGCTCCAACACCGCGTACATATCCTGGGTCTCCGAGCCTTCACTCTCATTAGACAGTCTTTCGGCCATGTGTTCCATGGGCACAATCTGAACAACTCGATGCTCCTCGCGACGCTCTTCTTTCGCTTTCTCCGTCGACTGCCGACCCTCCAAGCGCGTCTCTTTCCGGTGAACAGCATCCATAATATTGCTGACCACCTGCGTGGTAATCTCAATCTGTATGCGAGGCTTGCCTTCCGTGGACGTCTTCTCCACGGGTGTCCGCCGGGCTAAGAGGACGCGCAGTGCTCGAGAGAAGCAGGGACTGGTGGGTGAGAGTAAGAAAAATATCAGAGAGATGACCGGGACCAAGAAGAGTGGTAGACGCACTCGACAAACAGGGCGATGAGGGCATACGCACCGGGGACCAGGCCGTACATGATACCTGATATCACACAGAGCACATACGTCCCTTCCGATTTGATTCCTCCCGCGCGTATTATAGTAAAGTTGCCGATGGCAGAGACACAGTTCGCGGTAACTGCGCAAGTCATGCGTTAGCTGAGTTCGCCGATCTACGGCGCTACTTACTGAGGACAAGTGGGTAGAGCATTATCCTGCTTGCCACTCGTTTAACATTCACCCCGTTATTGCTCGTTATGCCGCTATTTCCTTCGCCAATGGCTAGTTCACGATTCCGGCTGCGGGTGTGGAAAACTAGATAGAGGAGCACGATCGTTGCCGACGCCGTAGAAACCACCATCGAGATTAGGAGCCATGTGTACCAGGCGCCTACCAGCCAGGAGATGCGCACGTGCGGCTCGGTGATATATATCCAACACATGCGTGTTTCGGGATCCCAACCCCAGACGGATTGAACAGCTGCATTCAATAAAATGACAATTAGAAATGGGGATGGGCGTGAGGCAAACGGTCGTACCTCCTGGAAGCGCAGTAATTATTGCCGCCCCCAAAGGTGCTAGGAGGTAATACCGTAGGAAGCCATCCGTATTTACTTGATGCACAAGCACCAGTTGCAGATTAACGGGGATAAGCATGACCACAAATTCAATGAAATTGCCTTCGGGTTGCGTGAGCGGAAGCGCTGCAGTGCAGAGCTAGGGACTTACTAGCGAAAAGAGTAAATATGGTTACGACGTCGCACCACTTCGTCGGGCCGGTGATGAACGTTTGGACCCTCGAAGGTGTTTTAGTACTAGCGAGTCGCTCACACAGAAGTTACTCACAAGTAAGCCGAGCTGTATATAAGGCTCATTGCTTGTACGCAGAGTAACATCTGTAGACTCTGTCTCCTCAAATTGGACCTGGTCGCGGGATTAAGCCATATCGCGACAGCAGTAGCGAGAACGACCACAGCCCCCGTAAGCGAGAGAATTGCGGGAATCACGCCCGTCCACAGGGCGATAGTCTGATTCAATGCTCCCCAAGCAAATGTCGGGTGCATGTTGAAAAAAAAAGGCAAATTGGGATATCCTCCTCGAAGAGCCCGGAAGGCGGTCATATAGGGGACAATCGACACTTGCTGTGGGTATACATAGCCAGGGTGACCGACGGATATCATGCTAAGATGCTGTACCGCGAATCCACTAATAGATCTGGACTGGATCTATAAAGAGTGTCGACAGCGATCATGATCAGTCCAGAACGCTCGAAGTGTAGGGACAATAAGGAGTCACTTGAGGGCGGATGTCGAGGAAGTGAGAGTCGTCCGTAGCGTCGAGATGAATTCTATAGCGTCGCCCGGGATCCACAGCTCTCCAGAACGTTGCGCTACTGGTGTCGACCAACGAAAGCTGTATTATCGTGGGCGCTGTACGTTGTATCTGCACGGCATGACCTGTCAAGGCTTGAGTCTCTTGTGCCCCCAGGTGGGAGCAAGAACAACGGTGACAGACAAGCACCGAGGGGAGTACGGCAACTCGCGAGAGGCGTATCAGTGGCAGATGTTCGAGGGCACCAACGCATAGCTAACACAGGCTAACAGCCACCGTACCCAGCGTCTCCGGACAGCATATGTTAAATTGCTGTGCTTACACGCTAAGGGTCGCGGAGAACTCGTGAGGATACCCTAATTATCGGTGCAAGCTTGTCAATTAGCATCTGAAGCTTATCAAAGAGGACACTGGCAGTACTCACTTGGGAACGGAACCGCTATGTGTCATACATATTTAGACGAAGATAGTCGGATATTATTAGGGATTTGCACTCGGACAGCGTCTATCAGGAGTTCCGTGACATAGCGAAGAAGCCGAATTGTATTCATGATCGCGGACTTCTATCCAAGAAGGAGCAGAAGGGATATTTGCTGGGTGTAAGGAGCTTGAGACCCCAAGTCTCGTAGAGTGGCCAGTGGAAACCTAAAGCGTTTGAAGGGGGCGTCAGTCTAGCATCAGGTGCATGATATTACTGGTTTGTAGCACCAGTTCAGTCGACAACACAAGAATAAGCCGTGCGCAGATGCACAAGGCGGGAAGGTGCACACGGCCTCGAAGTCGCAAAAAGTAATTGTCGGTGCGAAACTCGAGGTTGCTGTCCATTTGAGGGATAGAAGGGTGATCATTCTATCTATGGAGTAGTCCCTTATCGATGGCAAGGCGCCTCGGGAGTGCATCTGGGGTGTCGAACTCGTCGAATCTCCCGCGCGTTCCACTATTGACACTATGGTTTAGTGAACGCCTTATGCGTCGGGGGTACGACGTGAGGAGTCGTGCATGCAGTTCAATCGCCTGGTTGGAAGTGTCAGTTACTAGTAGTTTCCATATTGTGACGCGATTGAGGTGACATGCCACGGAAGGGAAGTTTTGACTTCCACAATTCAAGTCAGTCCAAGTTGTGCCTTCCCTGGTCTCTGAAATGAGGTGAGCATGCTGAACTCCCAACTCCCACCTCTATCCCGCAAGGGGCGGACACCGGGAGATGCCGAGACCACATGCAGGGGGGACCTCGGAGCCCTTAACTGAGATTTATTGTAAGGGGGCTAACGGGTAGGTATCTGGAACACCATTGGGTACTTTTGAGTAACCTAAATACCTTTCTGAAGTATCCCAGAGGAAAGCGGTGAGAAAGAATGACCTCTGGTAGTGATCTTCAGAAAACAAATGAATTGTGACTGAAGTAGACGTGACACCCCCCTGTGACAAAGTAACCCTAACCCTTGCTTAGCCTTGCTATGCAACATACCTTCCCTTTATGTACCGTGAGACTGTCTCACGGGGGGGAGGGGGGGTCCCCTGCATCAGGAACCTCGGAAATCTCCATGGAGTCACACAGAGCCCCGGAGCGACAGAGAGGTCCGCCCCTTGATATCCTGCTAACCTTAGCCGCTACTCTTTGCGTTCAGGGCATGCGTGTTCGTAGCCCAAACAGGCATTGTCAGGCCAAGAAATTGTTCCAATGCAAAATGCTTAAAACATGGTGGCTGACAATATTCAACAACAGGGGAGACATCTACTGCAACTACTTCGCACTCGCAAGACAGCTTGGAATGTACCCAGACCACCACGAAGCCATGCAAGACTACCTCCTCAATAACTGGCTTGGAACGATGGGGGAGGACATTTACTACTCCACTCCCTCGCTTGCCTGGAGTCGGCTGAGGCTGGCAGAAGGCCATCAGGCCACTGATCAATAAAGGAGAAGTGACTGGATCTGACAAAGGAATGACTTGGGTTGAGTAGGAATTTCATAGTTTTGGGTTGTGGAGTCATCTTAAGTCCTGGTGATTCGGCTTGACTCACCTCTTCTCTCGCACTAGCACTGTTCTGTGTTGCTTTCCATTTCATATTGTCCTTAAGTAGCAGTATGACTCATATGTAATCAGAGGGCTGCTAGAGTATAAAAGGAGCAGTATGTAGAGATAGAGGGCAGGCTATCTATCCTTGCCAATTTACCAGCACTTGATCTCTTGGGCCCCTTCAGCTGTGAAGAAGCCCTATTATTTTTTTCTGGATTTGTGAAGCACTTGCTGAAGGCCTTCACTGATCTACTCTTGCTCTCTTATCATCCTCTGTCAGCTCTAGTAGCTGACTCTCACTCTTCCTATTTTGCTTGACAACAGGAGCCTACCTCTCTGAACTTTGAGGAGCTTAGCTTGACCAACGATAAATCCAGCTACTTCTCTTAGGATTTGTGCCCCTTCATTAGGACCTGATTTTTTAGTGTTTTAGTTGGGTGGCAAAGTCCTGCTGACAGTGTGCATAGCAGCAACCGTCTCATGTGTTTGAGCCAGTCGAATGCATTTGCTAAGTAATAGCTGTACTTGTGGAAATGGGCAATTGCAAGTATGGCATGATACAAGTCCTAAGTCCCCTATAAGGAAAGATAATACAGAGAATCTTGATGAATAATGTGGATCTGTAATATTGGGTTTTCAATCAAAGATTTAATCATACAAATATGTAAACTACAATACTGACCCACACCCACCTGTACCGCACCGGCAGCAGGTAAGGGTACAAAACCCACCTGAGAGACCTGTCAGTAGAGGTCCATTGCTATGCATGGCAGGACATGAGTCCTGTGTTGTGTTGGACAAGTACTAGTATTGGGTGTATAAATGTTCCAATTGATGTATACAGTACTCTTTCCTATGCACATATCAAAATCCCTTAGATCTGTATCTGCAGTGTCCCCTTCATTCTTACTTTATCCTCCTGTGGCCCTAATAGTCCTTACCACTCTGACAGATTAAAAGTCTGTCTGTATTGGTGACTACAAAAAGACTACAAAATTGGATTTGTACCCAACCCAAGGAATGGTAGCAGCTGCACTACCAGACACAAGTAACATAGATCAAAGTCCTCCTCAGCTGCCAATCAAAGATTAGCAGTTCTGTGACACAGATCTTGTGTCCCCAGTGGAAGAGACAGTCAATAATACCTACAGACTCCATGTGACATCCTACCAGAAGCATAGTGCTCATCCACTGCCAATCAAAGATTGGCAGCTCCCTTCCACTCATTTTCCTGAACCAAGCTGAAGGACATGGTCATCAAAAAGGGTACTCAAACAGTACCCCAAGCAGCTGGGAGCAGAAATAAAATAGAAGTTACACATGTACTAGCTTCAATTTCTCAACGGGACATATAGACACCACTGAGTGGGAAGACACAGGGTTCCAGAGGCAGCAGAGATTGAGAAACACAGGCCCAAGATGCCTGTGACTGAAGAGATTGTATCATAGTCCCTGCCACCGACACATAGACTCAGATTATGTGTCTGAAAAACAATCCATCAAACTATTCAGCAGTCAGCACATTATTTCAGAACACAAGTGCAACATTCAAGAACCTCTTATAACCAACATAAGGTCAATGTGTATGTACCAGTAATGATTGGATTAAAAGGAAGCACAGCCTACCAAGTTGACATGCTTCAACTGCTGCAAGTACTAGACTAATGAGCGAGTGGGCAACTATGACATCTCTCAACTACAGAAATGTGCTTTCTGCAGTCAAGCTATGTCATAGTAAGCAGGAGCCAATGAGAAGCCAGAGATCCCAACTGGCGCGGTACCTCAACCACTGACTACAAGCTGCCACAGAAGTCAATTCCCATGGTAACAACATGCCACATGCGAGAATGAGCACATAGTAAAGGAAGGAGATATGATCAAATGCTCAAGATATTCCAGTAGATGGACAACCGAAAAAACCTCTTCACAGAAGAAACCACAGAGATAAATAAGAAATCCACAATGAGAACACAGTATTATTTAAAACAGACACTACAAATCCAATTTTGTAGTCTTTTTGTAGTCTCCAATACAAGGAGACTTTAAAGCGGACATTAAATTTTGTAGTCAAGACTACAGCCAAAACTTCGCACACATTCCCGGCATGATGATTCGCACAGGGTACAACATTTGGCATGCACCCAATTTTGCGGGTAAGGACTCATCCTTCATAAACTCAGGACTCATAACCGCGGGTTGCTGGGTGCCCTTAGCCGACGCCTGAGGTAGGGCTTTGTGGGTTCAAGGCACCCTATTGAAGGTACAGTTGGGCCAGTTCCTTTGTACACCTGGATCTGACAGTGCCATACCTGACTCCAGTATCACCGGGAGCCAGCTTCCCGTGTTTTTGCTGCATTTACCTCTCAAAAATCACAAATTTTGTATAAATATTGTACCCTCCACCAGACCTGCGGGACCCGAGACCTGTTGGGATCATCAGCAAATTTTCCCATAACTGGTATCTGAATACCCTTAGCATATAATCAATTAAAATAAGTACCAGTATTACAATATGTACCAGACTTGTGGACGGCTGGGCCAGCCATTATATTCGGATGGCACATGTTGCAAGACTCCTGCAAGAAGTACAATATGTACCAGACTTATACATATTACAAGCTCAGGCCAGCTTGCTTTGACCCATAATCAGACTATCAGCTGTCTTTTGCTTGATATTCCAGATCCCTGGAACGAAAAAGGGGGCAATGGCTGATGAACACAATAAACAGTGTATAATTGCTCAGACTAGCTACTAGACAGGATTTGCTATGGCTAGACATTCAACACAGTACTATCTGCTGACCCATACCCTCCACACAACCTACTCAATGGAAAGCAAGCCATGTCACTACAATAAACCAGATAGGTGAGATGAGAGACATACCTGGTGCACTAGTCATCTTGTATGCGTAGAACCCGGCAGTGGTAGACCTGCAGAATGGATCAGAACACTCAGTCATCAGTCATGTCACTAAACATGAGAAACATACCTAGCATGCATGACTTGTCGCTCCGACAATCTGAGAACCTATGAATATGGGCCCACAGTAACACAGAGAAATGGCTTACCCACAACCAACACATGTTGATACACGATGAGGGCCACTTCTAGGTCGCATCAACCCTGCACTGTAGGAAGGTACTTAGGTGGTTTATGGAGAGGCAACGGGTTCACAAAGAGAACTTACCCGCGGAGAGTTATAGTAGACGGTGTCGATGCCACCATTCAGAAGCATGTGAGAGCTGTGTAAGGGACTTAGTCGTGATACGAGGGAGAGGGGATGAGCGACGATGTCGAACTGCGGCGCGCTTTTAAGTCAAGTTCAAAGTCCGCCATGTTGAACTTAGCACGTGAGGCGATGTGCATCAGTCAGGTGCCGGTGGTTGCTTTGTTGCTAAGGGTATATATAGAATGATAAGATAATCCTCTGGTAAGCGTATCTCAACAGGCGGTTGGCTTATCATAAATACAAGTCTGGTATTCAGCTGGTAATGCGATTGTAGATGTGCTAAAATAACTGGAATAAGTGCCAGCCACTACCAGCCGCGGGACAATTTGCTGATGATGGTTTCACGGTAGCTCTCAGTTTGAGGGATTTCAGGCCCGAGCCTGCACCCAAGCGACACGTGCACCCAATACCATGGTGGTACCCGCCACCCGTGCCCATCCATACAATGGGGACATACCTATTCAACCTGTCCTCAGGATCGCCTCCTGCATTGATATTGAAGTCAGAATATTGAAATCTTGTGATGCAACTAACAATTACTCACTATACCTCTATATTCTTGTGCATTCCACAATGTGCCCCCTGCCTCGAGAATGCCGCCTAAGACAGACAAGTCATATCCGTCAATAATTCAGAGTGCAAAGGGGACAATACCTTTTGGTTAAGAGGAGAGTGCATGCAAACATTTTACTGCGACATGATGACTTTATGAATTGCACAAGAGCTGCAAGTGATTTCATACTGCGATCACTGCAGCTAAATATACACCAACAACTTGAATGCGGTAGAGTCCGCGATTCAATCCAACATGGCTGACGCACTCACACAGGCAACACGCAAGGCATGCGCTCATGCGACGCACTTGACAGCATTGCATCCCCATATGATGCACACCTGATGCAGGTAGAGTAGGTTGAGGGAGTATCATGGTCATTCAGCAGTCTGTGGCCCTTTACTGCTATTTGCAGAACATAAGGTGGTGCGCCACTTTTGAGGTGCGAGATGGCCTCCAGGCAAGAGAAATCCATAGCACCTGCTGCAGGGCTTGGATTGACTTAGGAATTTGTACATAGGGGTTTTCAATATAGAAAAATTTGCGGTAGCAAAGGAATAGCGAAAATCTGCACATGATAGGTCCATAGAGTAAGGGTGCTGTGGAGGCATTGTAGGAACAGTAGCTGGTCCATTGAAGGCAGAGAGAGTGTCATATTCCTTAGTAATTTGTACACAGTCTCAGTGTATGTACAGAATGCTGAATTAAATTGGTGAAGCATTAATACTGCACATAGACTGTTTGACATGCCAATTACTCCTCCTGAATAGCCATCTAGGTGCAGAGCTTCTCAAAATCCATAAGGGTCTCCCAAATTCATATCGAGTTACCAAACATTTACTCATATATCTACACACGAGGCAGTATTTATAAGCAGTCCTGGGACTGAGAGAGCGATTGAGAGGCTCGAGAACTGTCCCCAAGCTTTGCCTGAGACGCGGTATCTGGACATGTCATGCCTCCTTCGGGAATAGCTCAGGCACCATTGACCAGCCTGCAGAAATTGTACGAGCTTGCTTTGAGGACAGATTAATTTATTTTCTGGTTCAATATGATTTTGAAAGACAATTTAATGCATTTGGTAAATTTACGAGGCCCATACGAATTTGAGAAGTTCTGCACCTAAATGACTATCCAGGAGGAGCAATTGGCATGTCAAACAAGTCAGTGTACATTATTTGGGCTTCACCAATTTAGTTCAGCATTCTGTGCACACATTGAGTCTGTGTACGAAGTATTGAAGGGATATGTCACTTTCTCCCCCTTCAATGGGCCGGCTACTGTTCCTACAATGCCTCCATAGCACCCTTACTCTATGGACATCTCATGGGCCAATTTTCGCCATTCCTTTGCTACCACAATTTTTTCCTATATTGAAAACCCCTATGTACAAATTCCTAAGTCAATTCATGCCCTGCCGCAGGTGCTATGGAATTTTCTTGCCTGGAGGCCATCTCGCGCCTCGAAAGTGGCGCACCGCTTCCGCAAATAGCAGTAAAGTATCTAAAAATACGAAAATATTGTCGATTTCCACTGGGCCTCATGTGTTCACCGTTGTGGCTGCGAGCAGCGTGTTGCAGCCACATGTGTTGGCTTCCTGTCTCGAGTTCCAAGCCCACTCGCTCCTCCCATCGCTTCTACGGTGACTCCAGCAATGTCTAAACCGCACTTTGAGACTGTCAGGGTACGTCATCCTCAGTCCGCCCGCCCACGAGCGACTCCCAGCCCGCGCACAGTCCTTCGCCGACGTGCCCATCACCCACGAAGGCGTCGAGACCTCTGCCTTTGTCGAAGCATCCGAGGGCCTCATCACCATGTTCGGTCTGTGCAGCCCGGTTCCCCGCCGCCGACATTGATCTAACCCACGCCAGACCTGTTCGGCTCGGCCGTCTTCGGCTTTGTCCAGTCCGACCTCAAGTCCAATCTCCAAGTGCGTATCCCGCCGCGACTCCGGGCTCACGTTAGCGACCTGTGCCCAGGGCGTCCGGGACAAGTTCCACTCTGCGCGTGATAGCTCGCGCACGCTCGAGCTGCTCGTGCGCGCCGAGGTCGACGAGGGGCACCGCCACGCCACAGCGTGTCTCGTGCGTTTCATCCGGTACGTATGTACTTGCCATCCTCATCGGCACTTCCCGCTCATCCGACCCGCGCCCGCGCAGCGGCCTGCTCTTCACGCACCACGCGCTGCGCAACGCCCAGGCCGACCGCGGCGCCGAGCTCCACGTCTGCTTCCAGCGCGCGTACGACGCCGTCCTGCGCCACCAGCACAACTTTCTCGTGCGCTCCGTCGTCTCCGTGCGTCTCCCCTTTCCTCCTCCTCCTCTGACTCCCCCCTCATCCATTGCCCCCTCTCCCCCCCCTCTCCGTCTCCCCTCCCCTGACCTGGCATTGCCGCCGACCCTCCCGCCCACAGGTCGCCATCCGCGCCGTCCCCCGCCGGCGAGACTTCTTCGCGCGCCTCGCCCAGGGCGGCGATGCAGAGAAACTGGACGCCGAGCTCGCGCGCTGGCTCTCGGGGCTGGACGCCATCGTCACCCGCATAAAGACGTTCCTCGAGGAGGGCGGGTACGGGCGCGTGTGAGGGGGACCGGCTGGGTGAGGATGGAGGGAAGCGGGGAATGTTGGTGAGGGGGAGTCGGACTTTGCTTTCGCGTGGGATATACACTGACGGACAAAAGTATTTACACTGCCACAGGTGTGGCAATTCTTTTATTTATTCCAGTGTGGTGAATATAGCTCAGAAACTTGTTGCACATTCAGGATGCTTGATATTTGTAGTTTTTGGTATCATCACTACATGGACCCAATATGCTCTGGACGAGGTGAGATGATTACAAATTATTCAACCTATAAAAGTTATTTTCTTTGTGGCTGCTATGCGGGATATCTTGGGTATAATTTGGGTATATCCAGTTAGCTGAGATACCTACCCTTCTATACCACACTCACATCTTAGGGGGGTTTTCATATCAGAGTTCTATAATAAGTTGGATATAAGGCATCATGTCACCATACTGGAGAACCATAGTGAGATTGTGTGAGTAATGACCAAGCTGGTGACCCATCTCACTATGGTATTGTAATATACTAGCCATGTGTCTTAATACTAGTTATCAGTCAGTCTCTCTAGGCTCCTGGATGTGGCTACAGACTACCACCCCACACTATCATGGGCCCCAAAGTCACGACTTTGTGCCCTCCTCCATTTCCCCCAATATCCTGGCCTGTGGTTAGAGCAAGGAGAGAAGCCCCTAAGGTATTCCAATATGCATAATGCCAGGCTCATCCCTTGGACCTCTTCTATTCAGCCAGAGAGAGAGGGCTGATCTTCCATAGGTCTCTCAGATTGTTACTAATTGTAATTCATAACCCTGTTCCAAAGGGCATTGGACCCATACAGTGGTTCCACCAGAAACTACAGATAACAAGCATCCCGGATGTGCAACAGGTTTGTAAGCTATATTCATCATACTGGAATAATTAGAATAATTGCCACACATTGGCAGTGTAAATACTTTTGTCCGCCAGTGTACCATGACTCGCAGTCGGGTATACATACAATTCTCTCGTTCACTCACATCACGCATTGTATTACTACAACAGTTCCCGACTCTGTCTTTAATGTCACCTGCCCCACCTTCGGGCCCCCTGCTGAAGCCTATCCCCAGCTCCTCACAGAATGCACATGTCGCTGGGAAAGGTCCGCTTGCGCGTGCGCGGCACCTTCGGCGCCCTCTATGATAGCTATAGCGTTTCTTTGGCTCTTTCTCCACCGCAGCAGTCACAGCCGCAATTTGCCCCGGTGCTGCACCACGCGTGAGTCCCAAGAGAATAGACTAGCTGGAGAACTCGACTCGGCACATCGCAAGGGTATATATATATTCTTGTATGTATCTCAATCCTACATGTACAATATGGCCACACCGTGTATCGTGTATTCAATAAGCATACTACTACTCATGATCATCGACAAACACACAAAACCAAACAGGGAGGAAGACGTTTATGCTACAGTACACAAGCCACAGGCAAGATCGTGTCTGTCCGTGGCGCCCAATTGGAACGAACCCAAGCACAACACAAGAGGGGAGACCCAAGCGTACAGGGAAGCAGACAAGAATAATATATGTATATGACCAATAATAAGACACACCGGAGGAGATGAGACGCAGAGAGATCGACGCGTTACAGGACGCGTTACAGCACGCGCCCCGCAGACCCAGCACCGTCGTAAACCCAGGATGAGAGTGAGACACGGGACGAGCTCGCCTTAATGCCCGTTGCTGTTGCCGTTCACGTACCCAGGCCCGCAAGGCCGTATAACCTCGCTGCCCTCCTCGACAGCGAGCGCCTTTGCGACCTCGGTCCGGTCAAAGTCCTCGTGCTTGTCCCTCGGCATCGCTGCGTTGAGGTAGTCCACGAGCACGGGGATGGTCAGCTCATCGGTGGCCTCGTACGTCGTGTGCAGGAGGTAATCGACCGAGGCGTGGATGAAGGAGGCTCTGAGATGGGTGAATGAGATACTCGCAAAATGAGATAAATTAGGGGACGTACCTTCCCTCGGGGGAATCGAGATCAGCTAGACGCGGCCCTGCGTCGATCTTCCTCCTCTTCCTGTCACCCTCCCCAGGCTCGTCCTCATCCAACTCATCCTCCTCGTCCTCCTCGTCCTCCTCCACCCCGCCAATCTCGTTCTCGTGTATGAACGTCGTCCCGGGCACCGCCGTCCCGAGCTTCCACACCTGGATATTCATGCCCGCGCCCGCGAGACCGTGCCCGTTCACGGCCGCCGCGCCCGCCCCATTCACCCCGCTCATCACCGCGCCCAGTCCCTCGCGCTGCTCGTCCTTCCGTGGCCGGCCCCTCCTCCGCTTCTTCACCTTCTTCTTCTCCGCCAGCGCGCGCTTCCGCTCCTCCCGTCTCCGCTCCCGCTCCGCCTCATCCTCGCTATCCACGCCCTCCTCGCTCTCCGGGTCCTCCAGCTCGTCGTCGCCCACCGCTTTCTCCCCCTTTCCCTCGTCCTCTTCTTCCTCTTCGCCCTGCGCCTCCCCCGCAGCAGCAGCCGCCATCCGCGCCTCCATCCTCTGCCGCCTCAGCTCCTCCTGCTGCGCCTTCACCTCCGCCGCCTCCGCCGCCTTCTGCACCCTCCGCTCCCTACCATCCTAATCAGCCCCCAAACTTGACCAGGCCAACTCCAACACTCACCGCCGTCGCAAGCACTTGCCCCGGTGCATCGTCCACGGGTACGCGCAGTACGTGCTGTCCTGCCGGAGCTGCACCCACTTCTCGCAGAGCGTGCAGAACACGCGGTTCGGCTCGACGCGCCCGATGAGCGGGTCCGCGCGGAGCACCGCCGCGCGCTGCTCCGCGTTCATCCGGCGCCCCGCGCCTTGCTTCGCGGACGGCGAGGACGCGGGGTCGTTCCCGGGGGCGGGGGTGGCGGACTCGAACGACGCGGCGGGCGAGCCGGCCTGCGACGCGGCGTCGTTCTCGTTCTCGTGAGGCTGCGCTTCAGACCTGCGCGGCGGACGTCACTCGTAACTCGGCGCGGGGGATAAGGGGAGAACGCGTACGTACTCGGCCGAGCCTGGCTTCCCCACATCCTCTGCCCCCTCGGCGCGCCGGTCGGGGTCCGCGCGGCACGCCGTGCGGTGCTTGAGCCATCGCTTGACAACCGCGTCGTCCAGATCCTCCTCCTCTTCCTCTTCTTCTTCATCTTCCCCGTCCTCTCCCTCCTTCTCCTCCTCGTCCTCGTCTTTGTCGCTGGTGAGGGACACCCACCGGGCACACATATTGCACAGCACGCGGTCGCCCTCGTACCGGCGCACCTCGGGGTCTTTGGCAAAGTAGGCGACGCGCGGGTCGGGCGGCGCGGTGCTGGACTCGGACTTGGGTTTCTTGCTTCGGCGGGCTCTGGGAGTGCGTCAGTTATCCAGGCTGGCACAGCAAAAGCCTCACAGGCATCCCCAGACAGTCGCGCAACTCCACAATCATCCCAACCCGTCCGTCCTTCGCAAAGTATTTGACTCACCCTGGACCTTTCCTCGCCAGACAGCTCTTCCGGTGCGCGTCCCAGGGTATGGAGCAGTACGTCGAGTTGGGCCGGAGCCGTATCCACTTGTTGCAGTTGCCGCACAAAACCCGGTACGCCTCGAACTGCGCGACGTGCGGGTCGTTGCGTAGATACGAGATGCGTTCCTCCTCGGACCTCTTCGCGCGGCGGCGTTTGGACGGCACGGGTAGAATTTGGGTCGTCACGAGCGAGGAATTGGGGCCGAGCGCCATCACAGAGGACGTCGAGGCGAGCGACGAGGGGTGCGTAGGCGGTAGTCGTATAGGAGCCGCTCCAGGAGGGTCGAGGGTAATTTGGTTAACCGCCACGCTGGATGCATCAAAGTGAATCAATAGTAGTTCGAGTACATGAACTGTGACAAGACGCACCATACAGACCGGTGTGCTTCCCAGTGGTTCAACGTAAAGCCGCCCGTCGCCTCGTCCCTGAACGAAATCCCTTCCCCGCAGATTTCGCAGATGACCCGCCCTGTCTCGTACTCGCCCCGCCCCTGCTCGGTGGGCGAGTCGAGCGGGTCTTGCTCCATGGGCTCCGGCGCAGCCTGGACATCGGGCACCCTGGCCCGCAGGTCAGCAAGCAGCATAGCGACAAACAAAACGACGTGGCGGATACATACTGAGTGTCAGGCGGTGCGGGTGTATGCTCGTCGCTCGCCATCATCGTGTGTCACCTCCCCGCCTACCGCAATGCGCTGCGACGAGAACGCTGCCGACGACGACGAGGGGTGCGTCGTCGCTGGAGATGGCGATGGATGTCAGAGAAGGGGAAGGGCGATATAGAAGGAAAGGGACAGACACATTGGAATTAAAAATCGATATATTACATGATAGGGCATTCGACAACCTCAAAACATACACTCTTCCCACACTCGCGCGACAGACCCACCAGCCCCACGTGCCATGTCTGACTTTCCCCACTTCCCTTTCGGAAATACCCACCCGAGTGACGCCAAAAGCGAGACGCCTTAGACTTGGGACTACACCCCAAGACGCGAGACCAAGGGGTCTTGAAAACCTTATTTTGCCACCCCACCTGAACGCCCCCCCTGGGTACCCCACCTCGTCCCCCTTGACTTCAACGCTCGAGCATCGGTCTACACACAGTACACGTCACCGCCTACACTAGTATAATAAGGCCGTCCGCTACTCTGCTCGACACCCCGTCCTCGCTGTCTTCCCCGTCGACCACCATGCCCTTGCCGCTTCCGGCCGCGGTCCGGGTAGAAGTCTGGTAGCAAACCCCAACCCTAGGGTGTACCGCCACGGGTCAGGTGACAACGCCAGCGTCGGCGCCCGGCGTGTTGTCGCCGCCCGCTTTAGGCCTGTCGTCGTCGTCGCCGACGATGAGCATGGCTGTAGCATTTGTATGTAGTCGTAGAAATATGGAATAAATCTCATTAAATACACAAAATTCGTTTG